CTTGTTTTCGGCGATCCTCTTCAGCTTTCGTCTGCAGCCACTGGCGCATGGACTCATCCGTATTCTGCAATTGGGAAGGAGGGGATGGTAGATGAGACAGGGACGGGTTCATAGGAGCCATGACCGGGTGACCACGATCTAGAGGGGCGAGAGTTATCGACATTGGTGGTAGGTTTCGGTTGGTCGAGTCCATAACCTCGTTGGCCTTAGTAGAAAGGGTAAACTGTGCAGCAGCGGCGGCGGCGGCGGAAGCGGGTAATGGATCTGGGGACGAGACAGGAGGAGTCTCGCGCGTGACAAGAGGGGAGGGGTGGTGATCGTGGTGAAGGTGGTGGTGGTGGTGGTGATGGGAAGAAGGCGGCACAGCAGCGTAATCATGGGGAGCTAAAATTCCCTGGTGCGAAGGAGGTTTCACGGTGAGCAACATGGATGAAAATGGATGAAAATCTAGCCGTGATCCGTAAAAGAAAGACGCAATGGTAGTTCGTTTTCAATGTTGCATGGTGGCTCGATGCGTGAAGGAGGAGACCAGGGCTTCTTGCTGAAAGCGAAACCGAAAATGGGTCAAACGGAATAAGCCAAAGCTCGGACCTTTTTTTTTTTTTTTTTTTTTTTTTTTTGAGACTGGAGTTTTGGCTGGAGTTGGTGACAATGGAAGTTATTGGGACTGGCTATAGCAGGCTGTCAAAATCGGCATCATCAAAAAGACGTAGTAGCTTTTGTGTCAGCGTTTGAGGAGAATAAATCGATATCCGCGGTTGTACGAGGACGACGGAGGAGGATAGACCACAGAGATATACAATGCGACGCTGCGCGGTAGACCATGAGAAGATGAAGGGAAAAAGAGAGCGAAAAAAAAAGAAAAAAATAGAAGAATAACTAGAATGCCATAGAGGAAATGACAGACGAGAAATATGATGTCTGTACAGAAAGGAAATGCGATGGGGGAGGGGGGGGGGTGGGGAAAACCGTGCAAAAAGACAACGATCGACAAACAGGGCGGGAAGAAGATGAAGAACAAGATCAAATTGTAGATAGATATGGAATGACCGGGGAAGTGAATGAGTGTATTTAGCTAGCAGCAAGCAGTTGGTTCTATCATCTATCTAATGCCTTTTTGCGTTGCCTGCTTGGGTCGATTACCGTGGATGCACTCCGTAGATGTGAACGTGGATGACGGTGGTTCCAAGAGAACGAGTACCCCAGCACAAACAACACACTTACCAGATACAATGATGATTTGTTTGTTGTTGGTTGATCCACAGCCAGTATCCGGTAGTTGGCAGCGGGGGAGAGAGTTGGACTTCGAGCCGTCTGAAGCTTTGTCGTCCGTTGCAATTAATATGTTGTTGGATGTTGAAGCTGTCAGCTACACAGGATGCGTTACAGTGTAATGGCGTTTTTTTTTTTTTTTTTTTTTTTTTTTTTTTTTCCCTCTCTTTTGCCCTTTTTCTCCTCTGGCCGAGCAACCAGTCTGCCTGCCACACTGCCAATCTGCTCGAAAAGGGCCAAAACAGACAAAAACAGACAAAACGTGTACTGTTGTACTGTGCTTGTATTGATGGGCGTATTCTTGGTACAGGAAGCCTTGTGACCCTTCCCCTCCACCCTCCCCCAGCAGCCGCCGCCCTCCAGTTATGACGCCGCCAAATCTCAGAACAGCAAGTCAAGCCGCAGCAACTAGGCCGCGCTGGGATGACGCTAGACAAGAACCGACAGGGAGGATCTGCCAAGATCTTACAGGATCCGGCAAGATATGGGACGGATCTGGCAGGATGAGACGATTGATAGGATATCCACCCACGAACCCAAACGACAACCACCAATCCCGGCCCGCGAGCGGCGGAGCTGCTGGTTGACACCATATGGTCCCCATATCAGGAAAAGTCACATTTCCCGAGGGGGTGGAGTCGGTGGAGGCGGTGGAGCCAGTGGAGTCAGTGGTCTCATTGGCCTGTAGCGTCAGTGGAACCTTAGCTTATCGTATGCCAACTCAAACCACACACACTCCAGCCCGGATTGGGAATATCCTCGCCTCTCTCCTCCGCCTCCCTCCACCCCCCCCCCCAATAAATGGGTAAAAAGTTCGCGACACAATAGTGGGAAAATTAACAAATTTTCAGTAAGGCTGATATCGAGTAACAGCTGTTGCCCGCAACCAGGTATGAGACAGGATAATGTTTTGTTACTCCTGAGATGTGCGGAAATTCACAATAAGATAGTAATTAGTTGTACTCTCTACTACTATTGCTTTTTTTTTTTATTGCTCGTTTACTGTG